GAGTGTGTAGCATGGCAGTCGCCAACCCTGCTCGTCGAGTAAAATTAACTAAATTGAAGCAATCCGACTCGTCTGGGAAATTCTCCCACTCAGACGATCGAAGACTGGAGACTGGAGGGCGAAACGATGACGACGGAATCTCCAAATGCGCACGTTCAAACTCCTAGGTAGTCCAAAGGGAAGGAACTATGCAGACTTCCGACAGAGGACGTCGGACGTCCCCAAGCACATCATCTGATGTGATAAACCTCATTTCCTCGCCACATAACTGGATGCTTATGAACAAAGAATGTGGCTCAGCCCGTTCTAATATCAACTAAGAACCCATCCGCTAACCTTGGGGTTTAGTAACCGTTCTTGGAAGATGCACAAAACGCCCTCAAGGGTTGCTGTACCAGAAAAATGCGGTCTTACCACCCCTATGCAATGTCCGGGCGCTTGCATTGCGAGGTTCCCGAGAGGCGAAATGGAGGGCGCCATCAGTGCTAACCTCACAACAACCTAAAACTCGTCACTTAGGCCATTTTTTCCACGGTTGATGCTGCAGTTTTTTTGTAATAAGTTAATGGCGTCTGAATGCAGGCCCCAAGTAAAATCGACAGACAGAAACCTGCCCGCAGGCTAGGGTCCCTTACACACAAACCTCGGCTCAAATTGGCGTTCGCTACGCTTGTCCGTTTTAAATGGCTACCTCGATGCCGCCGCCACTGCATCCCGCGTTAAGGTGATATATCAAGTCGGGGGCTTAAATGTCATGCTAGTGAAACAACCACCGCAGTCGGCACATGCGAACACAGGCAACTAGCGTCCTCGACACACTTCATGCCGTGGGACCCTCTGAAGTGATAGTTATCTTCTGAGCAAAAGGAGGTTACTGTCCGATGCACGTACGATATATCTCATGAAATCGAAATCTGTTTCCTTGTCCAATTCAATTTTAATACACGTTAATATAAATGCGTGTCCAGGTCGAGACCCTATTTCATCTTGTTTACTCAGCGGAGGGCTCAACTCAAGATAGTAGAACATGCCAACCGAGTCTTCGACCTGCCGAGTGTCCGACACGGTAGTATAGGCCAGAGCGACTGTCGCAACAGTCATTTTGGATAAAGCCAGCCACATGTCTGGCGAAGCATGCGCCCATCGCAATGCCGCGTGTTACTAGCATCCGTAACGCATAGACTGCAACTCATTGCGAACCCTGGGTCTGCCGCGATGTGCTTATAAAGAACGTCGTGCAGTTGAACAGCGCTGGACAATGAACGTAGTCCCGGACGGTGCCGGTGGATGAAACGAAATCACTACCCAGAATTAGGCCGGACCTTGGCGAATACATATAATAGCCCCGGAGTGGTCGATGTACCCCGTGAGATGCTACCCCGGGGAGAAATCACAGGGAGCTTAGGAGAAACAGAAAGGTCCCGGGTAGAATCCATAAGAATGACTGCGCGGCCTATATCAGGCGTCTCTCCAAGGCAGCTGGCCCATCGTCCACGCGACTGGGAGGATCTCCATGTCCGTGCCAATTTGTGGCGCAGCCCCATACAAATACTTATTCTCTAGGGCGGCGCAAACACTGTAATTCAGCCCCGTTACTAAGTCCGCGGCGACAACTGACCGAGCGACTTCCCTTGTGTTTATGGCTTTTCCATGGTGCCTGGCAGTTATCAAAGCAATGCTTCCTATTAGCTTACAGCGGCCGTGCTACTAGGCAAACTAGTCGTCCGCGCACGGCTCTTGTCAGCGCGTTTTCGATAAACCCTAATTAAACCGCTCTCGGTTTGCAGTAGACACATCAGTCCGGACATAGTTATTAAGCAAGAGAAAACCCCAAAAGCAGTCCAGGCTCTTTTAGAAACTCCCTGATCTGAAATGGACGACGAATCGTTCACAACCGATCTTCTCCTAGTAGTCCATATTGCCTCAACGAATTGAGGTATCCAAAAGACAATCACGGAATAAAATGACGAACCTTTATCATGGTCGCTTGTTGAACGTCGCCATTCATCGTGCCACGGCAACCTGTATGGGACTCTACGGAGGTACCAGCACGACCTTATGTACAGTGATCGACGGAGTTTTGTCTTATGTCCAATGCCTTCGCGTCACAATACACAGAAAGCAGGTTTCGAAGGAGGGCCCATAGGCACTTTCCTATCCCCTTGTTTGCCTATCGGGGCGAGCATGAAAAGTCGGGGTCAGAACCGAGGGAAGATAATCCAATCAAGAAATCTACGCGAATACCGGCAGACTGACGCGATTTCCAGGAATAGACAGTGGAATCCACAGATAACAAGCTCGTCAAGATGGAGAGCTGCGACCAGAAGTGCACAAACGCATGGGTGTAGCGGCCAGTCCTCAGTACCGTTAGCCAAGTAACTTATATAGGCTAACAGTTGGTTGCAGATTACAATAAAATCTTAAAAAGGAATAAACTGCCATAGTAAGACCGAACTTTATTGGAACTTATGAGGATTTGGCAGCCTTGGCCTTGGGTGGACCACTGCGAAATCCGTTCCTGAAGCGTCTGTGTACCTTCTTCAGATGAAGACAGCGACCGGTGCCGGTAGTCTTCCTCCTGCGAGCTTTTTCAGACCAGTTATACTTCCTTAGGCGAGCGGAAGGATACCCACATGCAGCACACACTTTCTTCTGGTTGTGAAAAGATTTTCTACCACACCTCCGACATTGCGTGTGCGTCTTGTTGTGACGCTTACCGAAGGAAGTTGTCCCCTTTGTCATTGTAAAACTACAGAGGAACGGGAGAGTTAAGGTGTGGCCGATGAAAGGGAAGAATGGAAAACAAGGCAGAACACGCTTACGCCCAACACGCCTTCGAATCTGTGGCTGCAGTTGATTCAAACAAACTGACGATTCAACCGCGTGAAGTTTACAAGTACCAGCTTGCGAATGCTCTGGACAGCTTCATTAGATTTTCCAATAAGAAATTCTTGCAAATTACGGTTAAAACCCATTTTATCCCGGAGGCATCTGGTGTTCTAAACACAAGTGCTTGTAGGAGAACGAAATGCTCAGGAAAAACCTGCAGAATGGAAGTGAGAAGGAGTATGGAGACGATATAACGGAAGGCGAGAAAAAAAAGTATATT